GGAAAGAGCAACATTCTGCATTTTGAGAGTATTTGATCAATTGGTACTCTCTTAACTTGGCTATTGGGCAAAGCTGCTTAACCTTTTTAATCCTTAATCTTTATCTGTAAAATAGACCTGTTATGTTTACCTTATTGAGCAATATTAATAAATAGTGACCATTGGGTCATTGGAAAAGCCATGACATATTTTTCCACGTTTTTCTGTGCAAAAATGCGTCATGAATTTTCTTAAAACTGCAATACATATGTAATTATCATCTGAGAACTGTGCTTTAGAAATTGGTAGAGTATAAGAAAAGCAGAAAAAGGGATTAAAAGATAAAATAATGACAGTGAAACAGAGCTGTAGCAGTGTATACTATACTCATAAATAAATAAATACAAGAACTGGGTTGTTTTATCATTAGAGAGATTTTTGCTGTAGGTTGCGTGTACTCACTGAAGAGACAGAGAGAGAGAAACAGAAAGTGAAAAATCACCCTGGGGAGTGATTTCACCATAATCCCTTCTCTTCCAGTCTCCTCTCAGGATTTTGGGTGCACACACACCCAGCGTGAGTTCGAAGCCGCCAGGTCTAGGGTTTGAACAGTGGTGGATTCCATGGTAGTCCAGTGATGTAACCATTATGCCATCTGCAAGTCCTGTGTTTTTTTTTTTCCCCTTGAGAATTTTTTTTATATAGGGCACGTGTGCTCGTTGGAGAGACAGAAAGCAAGAACTCACCTCCAGGGAGGTTGGCTAACACTGCAGCCTCTTCTCCTCCATTCTCCTTTAGGGATTTTGGACATGTGGGTACACCTACTCAGTTCTGAGTTTTAAACCACTGGGTCAGGGACTCGACTACGTGGGAATACAGTGATGTAATCATTATGCCATTTGCTGGTCCCAAGAACTGGGTTCTTTTAGTAATTTCTTAAAATTTAAAAAGTAGCAAATCTAGAAAAAAAATACATAACATTAAGCATGAGAAAGTATATTATTGCAGGAATGAAGAAAGCTTAAAAATTATAAAACAGTAAATGGAAAGGTATTGTAAAAAATTGAATATATGGGTTGATTTCTAAGAAAACAAAAATGACAGATTTCACACAAAAGGAGAAAATTTTAGTAGGCCAATTACATTGAAAAAAAAATGGAAGTAATAGAATTTGTATCACTTCCAAGGAAGTTTTAAACATTGATGAAGATAAAGGGAAATTTAGCTCATGTTATAGTAGCAGGGAAACCCAGATGGCAAAACCTCACGAGGGAAAAGAAAGCTATAAAACAATCTCTCAAATATCTTGTTATAAAAATAGAATAGTTAGGGGAGCCAGCAGTTGGCGTAATGGCTATGTCGCTGGACTCCCACGTAGTCGACCGCGGTTCGTGTCCCGGACCCGGTGGCTTAAAACTCACGCCGGGCGCATGTGCGTGCGTGCCCAAGATCCCGAGAGGAGAATGGAGGAGAAGGGATTGCGGCGTGACCATCCCCCCTGGGCGGTGATTTCTCGCTTTCTGTCTCTATGTCTCTCTCTGTCTGTCTGGCGAGCGCACGCACCCTACAGTGAAAATCTCTCCAAAAAAAAAATAGAATAGTTAGAATACTTGCAAGTTGTTTTCATCAGTTAAGATAATTGGTAAAGCTTATTTGCACATTGCATGGATAGATAGGTTAATATTAGAAAATGCATAATTTTTGTATCAAAATCTGAGTTTAATATTAGAAAATGCATAATTTTTGTGTCAAAATCTGCAGAATTGTCTCAGAACGTGGCTATTTGTGAGTAAGGATTTTGCTAACTAGGAATGTAGAAGACTTCTGTACTGTGATAAAGTATACTGTCTCAGGATGAACATGATTGAAGCCATGATTGAGCCAGATTTTATGTTGAAACCTAGAGGTCTTCTCATAGAAGTCAGAAAAAAGACCAGAACACCCCATTGCTTATTGCTGGTACCTAACATCATTAGGGCTCACTCAACAAGCAAACTAAAATCATGGCATTCTTGTGTGTCCCAGGTGTTGTACTGGTGTGGGCGATCTGGTCATCAGGTCTCCATACTGCAGAAGAAAGAAATAGAAGTGTTGTAAGTGCTTTTGTTGTTCTGAGAACATAGCAGTGGAACATTCAGTCTAGGTTAGTTCTGGAGAAATCGTTCTGAACCTGAAGTGTGGGTCGAATGCATTAGGGAAGGGGAAAGGTAGAAAGAGAGAAGAGAATGTGTGAATGGTGCAGTGTGGAGCAGAGCTCTGAGAAGGCTAAGCCTGAAGCTGGGCAATTGGATATAACTGGCCTGGACCAAGGCAGTGGCAGTGCCAATGGGGAAAGGCGGACATATTTGAGAGTCTGGTGAGACAGAGTTAATATGCCTTGATAACTGCTCAGATGTGTTGGAGATGAAATAAGAAGAGTCTAGTGATCATCTGAAATCTGGTGTTCCCTATGAAGATGGGGGGGCCCTAAGGAAGAGAGTAAGGGTGAATTCTATTTGGGGCATGAGGATTTTGAGAATCTGAGACAAGCAGGTTGAAATTGTATTGTAGTTAATTGTATATACAGGTATGAAGTTCAGCAGAGAGATCTCCACTGGATATAGTAAATGCCATGGGGTAGATGAGATGAACTAGGAAGGGTGAGAGGAAAGAGAGCCTGAGGAGAAGTGATAGACGAAAAGCTGAGTTATTATTGTTGTAGACAAAATCAGTGAGGACCTAATTGAAGTGGATGATTTTTTAACATACAGTGCTAGAAGTGTCCTCGGCATGCTGATTTTTTTTTCCTCCAATACCCAGTATCTTGAAGAAAAAGCAGGCTTGGATTCTGTGTGTTCTAACTAATGTAGTAGATGAGAAAATAAAAGTTTAGAGGTACAAATACTGTAAAAGAAGAAGAGTAATCATGGTTTGCAATAGAGCATTTCGTTAAGAAGAAACTATTCGATGGTTGGATTTTGAATTTTGGAGTGTACAAGACACTTACCTTAAAAAGATGTTTTGTTCCTAATTTAAGATGCCCCTCTCAAAGTATTTGAAGTGTTTAAAAAGTGAGTATTGATGTTCACAGTATCCCTGGCCATCTGTCATTCAAGACACCTGTTTAAAGTAGATGGAATGAGGATGTTTTATGTCTGTTTCTTGGTAGTAGCAGTAAATATTTAGTGGTTTTTTAAAGAACAAAATATATCAAACATTGGCATTAACTTTGCGATATTGGGTAAGTGACATAATTTGTAAGACTTTCCTCCTTTGTAGAGAATATTAACATCTGCCTCATAGGGTTCTTACAAGGATTAAATATGAGAATGTCAGTAAAGTGCTTAGCAGAGTGTCAGGCTCACAGCAAGCACCAAACACACCCCCACACACTCACACCCCCTCCACCCAGCCCACTAGGAGCAGAGAGCTGCCATTATTTGCTGATATTTTAATAGCCTTCCTAAATACAGGAACACCTAGTTAGTTAGAAAACATAATGAAGGAAAAGAAATAGATTCATTGCAGAAATTTAAATTAATTAAAATTTAGTATGAAATGTAGCTGACAACAAAGAAGGTGACGGAAAGTGGAGGACGTGCCCTCCTCCTGTTATCCTGATAGGAGACCATGTTCTAAAACTACCATAACAATTACGTCCTTCAAAACAATCTCTACTTTTAATGTAACTTGAGCTAGAGTACTGGTTTTGCAACTTGATGATGACTCTCTCATTTTTCATTGGAGTAGAAGTTAAGATAATAAAAGCAATAATGCAGGGGTACTTACTCTACTAGCATTAAATGTTCTGTAAATACAAGATAATTTTGGAAATTTGATATGGGTATAAATAGATCAATGAAACAATTACAAGCAATAATTAGGTGTATATAAAATTAGTATCTAGGGGCCAGGACTCCCACATGGCCAATCATGGTTTGAGTCCTGAACATGGCTGCTTGCTTTCTCACTCTCTCTTTCTTTCTCTCATTCTATCCCTCTCTGGGCAAATTAAAATAGATAAATAAAATAAAGTTAAAATAATTTTTCAAAATTTGTGTTTAATTTGTTGTATATAAGTTTAAGTAATAAATAATTGTCTTTTCAAATCAGAAGAGAAATTGGCAATTGGTGAGCCATTTGGAGAAAAGAACTGAAATTAGATTTCTTCCTTATATCTTGGAGAGATAGAGTACAAAAATCTAGTGCTAAAAGTAACTGACAGGGGAGACTGGCAGAAGGTGTGGTGGTTGGGGGTGCTGGATTCCCAGATTGCTGACCATGGTTCGAGTCCTGGACCTGGTGACCTGCTTTCTCTCTTTCTTTCTCTCTCTCTATGTCCCTCTTTTATCAAATAAATAAAATGAAGTTCACTATAATAATTATTAAAAAAAATAGTAACTGACAGGGCCCAGCAGATGGCATAGTGATTATGTCACTGGACTCCCACATGGCCGACTGCTGTTTGAGTCCTGGACCCAGTGGCTTGAAAAATCACAACTGGTGCTTGTGTGCCCAAGATCCCAGGAGAAGAATGAAAGAAAACAGATTGTAGCATGGACATTCCCCCTTGGGGGGTGATTTCTTACTTTCCACTCACTGTCTGTCTCTGTCTCTGGCAGGTGCATGCACCTTATGGCAAAAACCTCTCAAGAAAAAGTAACTGACAAAAATATAAAATATTTATTTGGTTTTGGGATGGGAAAGGATTTCTAAGCAAAAAACTAAGGCAGGAAGCATAAATAAAAAGATCTCTAGGTTTGACCTTATAAAAGCCCTATGTAGCAATAAACAAATAAATAGAATTTTAAAAAGTGACAAAACAGATGAATGAAAATGATTACAATAAATTAAAAAAGACCACAATCCTGATTAAAAAAATATTGACATAACATAGAAACTAGGATGTTCACAAAAGAAATGAATATCAAATGTGTTCCTTTCACTATAATAAAAATGACAAATGAAACACTTTTTTTTTCCAGTAGAATGGCAAAGGTAAAAAACCATATTTTTTAAAAAGAATTATTTTATTTAACTTTATTTATTTATTCATTTATTTTGATTTGACCAGAGAGGGACAGAGTGAGAGAGAGAGGGAAAGTGAGAAAGTAAGCCACTAGGTCTGGGACTCAAACCATGGTCAGTCATGTGGGAGTCCAGTGCCCTTAACTACCACACTACCTGCTGGCCCCAAGACAAACATGTTGATAGGATGTGTGGAAATGGGACTCGCGCATGGCTCTGATGGTAATCTAATCTGATACATACGCTTCGAGAAATAATCTGAGAAGTGTGCTCCGAACACAAATGTGTTCATGGTGGAATTCTTATAATGGAAAAAATGTTCATCTAAAATGACTGTTATATTTATTAAATTGTGGCATTAAATATACTATGCACCTTTTAAAAACGGTTCAAATGTTGATGTACTGAAAGAGAACAATCTTCCTGATTTACTGTTAATGAAAATGGTACATTATAGAGTTCTTTTTTTTGCTAAAATGTGCAGATTTATATATGTGTGTGTATATATATATATAAACACACACATGCGTACACTTATATTTTTAAAACACTGAAATATAGTAGTTATTTGAGTATTGAGTAATTTCCTTTTATTTTTGTTTATGTTCATGCTTTATTATTTTTCTATAACGAACATACGTTTTACTTTGACAATAACTTTTCTGGTAACAAAACTAATGATACACATTGTAATATTTAGAAATTATTGGGCCCAGCAGATGGCGTAGCAGTTACATTGCTGGACTCTCAAATGGCCAACCATGGTTCAAGTCCTGGACCTGGCAGGTTGAAAATTAAGCTGGGCGTTTGTGTGTGTTCAAGGTCCCAGGAGGAGAATGGAGGGGATGGGATTGCGGCATGGCCATCACTCCCTGGGGGGTGATATCTCATTTTCCCTGTCACTGTCTCTCTGACTCTCTCTCTCTCTTCCTCTCCCTGCTGAGCACACATGCCCTAAGGCAAAAACCTCTGGGAAAAAAAAAAGGAATTACATAAATAAGTAATAATATGTACAGTCATTCTAGTCACCTGAAGTATACACACACACACACACACACACACACACACACACTTTCCTGTTGTTAATAAAAATAGTTTGTGACTTTGTACACTTATTTGGATAGTAGTAGCTTTATTAGTAGAATTGTGGAGGTTACCAGTTGGTATAATAAGACAGTTTTATTTTCCTTAATTGGATTCTCAATATTTGAATGTTTCACCTGCATTTCTTGGGCTTAAGCTAAAGTAAACCCTATGGGTTGTTTTTCTCCAAGTATATTCATAGGATATGTCTTTGCAGATTTTAATCCCCAGTAATTCAAAGAGATGGAGGTTTTTTCCATCTTTATTAACTTAATTAACTTTATTATAAAGAGTTGGTTGACTAAGTCATAATACCCAAGTCTGGTGTTCTGGAGAGATAGTTAGGGATGAAAGAACTGGTTCACTCTTGGATTATAGTTCTCAGGGTTAATTTATGGCCAAGTTGAGTCCAGGTTTTCTGAAATCTTCCTTCCCTCTTCCCCAGCAAAGCAAGGTGTGGAAGATTCAAATCTAGTATCCTCATTACTGAGATTTCCCATATATGGAGATTTCCGAATGTTTTCTAGATATCTTTCTGTTCTAGGAGTAATGGTTTACCAGCTATTCCTGAACCTGCTGGATGCACATCAGAATTACCTGGGGAGATTATTAAAAATACAGATTCTTGCCCCTCCCCCCCTGCCCCACGAGATTGTGAATCAGTAAGTAGATCTGGGGTAGGACCTAGGAGTTTGTATTTTTTAACAAGCAAACTTCAGATGACTCTGATGCCACCAGACTGGTGTTTGGGAACCACTGTTTTAACAACAATAAAGATGGTAATACGGCATGGTGTTTGCATTTAGGTGAAAAACGTATTAAATAGTTGAAAGAGAATAATATTTACAATGGAAGAGCATCTTTAATAATGACCTCTTCTGCCCCCTTTTGTAGTCGCTCCCCAAGTAGGGAGAAGAAGCGAGCTCGTTGGGAGGAAGAAAAAGACAGGTGGAGTGACAACCAGAGCTCCGGCAAAGAGAAAAACTATACCTCCATCAAGGAAAAGGAGCCGGAGGAGACGCTGACTGACAAAAATGAGGAGGAGGAAGAAGAACTACTGAAGCCCGTGTGGATCCGATGTACCCATTCAGAAAACTACTATTCCAGTGACCCCATGGATCAGGTGGTAGGTTTAAAGAAGAAGAGAAGCTAGAGACCAGAGCACTCTCGGCTTTGGAGCCACAATAAGTCTTTATTATGGGGGCTGCCTGTGCATTGTAGCAAGTTTAGCAGTATCTCTGGGCCCTGTCTGTCACATGCCGGTAGCACTCCTCCTGGTTGTGATAACCAAAACTGTCTTCAGATATTGCTTAGTGTTGCCTGGTGAGCGAAAAAAAGAAAAAAAGACCCCAGTTGAAACTCATGCCATGGACAAAGGCTGTTTTAAGTAGCCAAAGGCAAAGAGTACAGTAGGCTAATTAAAGTATTCTGCATTTTATATGACACTAATAGTCTTAATACCAGTGATTTCATAAGCTCTCACCTATAAGTAGTTTGTGCATGGGGTGCGTGTGTGTGTGTTTCCCTGAAGATGAGAAATAAGGAAGAATTTGAGTTTGTCTCTCTGAAGTATGTTCTTGACCAAAAGATCGAAAGATCACTAACCATATGAAGTTTCCTATGCGTCCTGATGGTTTTGTGGAAGGGAGCTATTGCCCCCCACTTAATGGGCTGTGGAGAGGATTCCTGAGTTCATGCCTCTAGAGCTGGGGCTCAGGTGGCTCCATGGCTGATACTGTCATCTCCATGGTGGACTCCACGACCTCCTTCACGCTCACTTTATTTTTTGTCCATTTTATTTCTGTCACTCTTCCTTTTTTTATCACTCTTCCGCTTCGGTATTATGCATCCATCCCATTAATAAAGGCACATTTGCCCAGCATAGACACACCATAATGTTAGTTGATTAAATGAGTGTATGAAGGAATGTCTGTCTCCAGATTTAGGGCTAAGAAATTAGGTGAGATTAGTGCAGAGGATTGGAGAAGAGAAGCTTGTACTTGGAAATTGGTGAAAGTAGATTGTATTCAGACTTTTACCTGGGGAGAACTTGAGAGATTTCCTTGTGTTTGGAAATCAAAAGAGTTAAGAAATCTCTTAGCACGGTTGTGGTATTTCTCTTGATAAATTAGAGTAGGCCTTTGAAGTAATCTAGTTCTATCATACAGAGAAGAGAAAGCTCATAGATCCAACAATTTTACTCCACGTTTCTCATATTATTTTACTTCATTCTCAAAGTATCTCCGGCAGTTAGGTGTTCTGGCAGTTAGCAGTGTTGCTGGAAGTAAGAATACCCAACTAAGCATGAATCTGATTTATTTTTCTTGCAACAAGGTGTCTGGAGAGAGGCCGTGCGTGGTCATTTAGTGACTCAGTGGGGACTGGGCTCTGCTGCCTTCTTGAGCATCCTTCACAGTTGCAGGATGATGCATCTTGTGCAGGCATCATGTCTTTCCACACCTGTGTCCACACACAAGGGACACGGGGCACTTTGGATGGGTTGTTCATCTTGCACCTTGCCCAAGCTCTCATTTATTGTGGGTATCCCAAGGATTAATTTACTGTCTCCTCTGTAACAAAGTTCCACAAACTACATGGCTTAAACTAACACACACTTAGCATCTCAGAGCTGAGAGTCAGCTTCATTGACTGAATCAAGGTATCAGCAGGGCTGTGTACTTTCTGGAGGTTCTGGAGAAAATCTGTTTTCTTGCTTATTCAGGCTTTTGACAGAGTTTACTTCCTTGTAGCTGTCATAGGTATTCTTTTTTTTTTGGGGGGGGAGGGTTTTTTTGCTATAGGTTGTGTGCATTCGCCAGCCAGACAGAGAGAGACAGACAGAAAGTGAGAAATCACCCCCCAGCGGGGATGGCCACACCACAATCCCTTCTCCTCCATTCTCCTCTCGGGATCTTGGGCACGCACGCACACGTGCCCGGCATGAGTTTTAAGCCACCGGGTCCAGGACTCAAACCGTGGTCGACCTCATGGGAGTCCAGCAACATAGCCATTACGCTAACTGCTGGTCCCATAGGTATTATTCTTGAAAACACAGAGATAATGACACTGGAGTTCAGGAGTTAAACAGGCAGAGCTGTTCTCTCCCACCTTTTATTGTTACAGATATATTAAAACTCTAGAAGAAAGGCTGATAAATCCCAAAGCCTGACACTTGCCTTTGAGTTTTGTCATCTGTAGTAGGAGAGGTTGGTAAGAATATCAGAGCCACCCCATTGTTGCTATCTTAGCAATGAGGTGTGGCCTGAGATAAAACAGGTATCTCTTTTTCTGGGTAGTAAGTTTTATACTTTGCTTTTATTTTATTTTACTATTCTTTTTCTTCCAAGAGGAGGGGAGAGAGACAGGTATCCCCCAATGGGATCCTCACTCTACATCTCCCCAGCCTTAGATAGCCAGGGTCTCTGGCATACGCACAGATAACTAGCATGCCCAGGGATTCCCTGGGGCATGAATCTGAGACCTTTCCGTGAGGGCCCAGCATTGCAGAATGTTGTGTTACTGCTGCAACACTCTCTATCCCGTTTTAATTTCTTTCTTTCTTTCTTTCTTTTTTTTTTTTTTTTTAGAGGATTTTGCCTTAGGGCACACGTGCTTGCTTGCTGGAGAGATAATGAGAGAGAGAGTGAGAGATCACTCCCTAGGGGAGATGGCCACACTGTGGTCCCTTCTCCATTTGAGTTCTCCTAGGATCTTGGGTACACACACATGCACACACATGCACCCAGTATGAGTTTCAAGCCACTGAGCCTGGACTCATACTGCAGTTGTCCATGTGGGAGTCCAGTGACTTAACACCATCTACTGGCCCCCCTATCCTCCCTTAATTTTATTTTTACATTTGAAGATTCTAGTTTTTACATTTTGAAGGTAACTACATTAAAGAGGATGGACATTTAAAATGATTTTCAACCTGAGAAGAAAATGGGGAAGATTAAAGAATTTTCTCCAGAAATGCAGAATTTTCCCCAGAAATGTAGAATCTCTTGAGTTTGTAAGCATTGGAGTGGGGGTGTAGATGCAGGCTACTTCTTTTTACTCATTAATGTGAAAGATGTATTAGGTTGTTGGAAAAATCATGATGTATTTTTCTATGTGAAAATGCATCATGACTTTCCCAATGACCCAGTAGTATTAGTGATTTTTATGACAGGTATGTGTTCTGAAGACGGTGTGTGGAATTCTCTGCTGGTCTTTTTTTTTTTTTTTTTTTTTTTTTTAGTCTAAGGGTACATGTGCTCGCAAGAGAGAGATGGAAAGATGGAAAGAGAGAAAGCATCTTCCAGTGAGATGTGGTCACAGTGCAATCCCTTCACCTCCATTTTATCCTGTTGGGATTTTGGACATGCATGCACATGAACCTGTAATGTTTCTCAAGCTGCCGGGGTTGGAATTCCAACCTCAGTCGGCCATGTGGGATCCAGGTCCTTTACCACTGGCTATGGGCTTGGCCATGATTTAAAAAAAAAAAATGATGTCAAAAAGGTATAGATGATCAGTTCTTAGGTTTCTGAATGTTGGCAAAATGCATTTACTTGAAGATTGTGTTAGGACAAGTGTGTGTTTGATTCAGAGCATCATTCCCAGCATTGGACATTTTGTTTTTAAACGTTTAGTAAATTGAATGTAAAAAATGGCATCTTGCTATCACAAATTCTTTGATTTTTTATGAAGACTTATGTGTCTTTGATCATTATTAAAGTTTCTAATACTGATTTTTTTTATTTTTAAAAGGGAGATTCTACTGTAGTTGGAACAAGTAGACTTCGTGACTTGTATGACAAATTTGAAGAAGAGTTAGGGAGCAGGCAAGAGAAGGCTAAGGCCGCTAGACCTCCGTGGGAACCTCCGAAAACGAAGCTGGACGAGGATTTAGGTGAGTCACAGAGATACCAGGCCAAACCCTGTGTTCTTGTATTACTGCTTCATCTTGTACTTGTGGGAAGTATCCTTGAGACTTCCAAAAGGAAATGTCTTCTTTTTATTTTCCTTAATTAACAGCAGAATATGCAGTAGAACTTCCTTTTTTACTTTATTTTTTTTCCTTAGTTACATTTATCAGAATATGTAAGAGATCTCTTTTGCAATGCATGTTATCAAGTCTGGGCCTTGTAGAGTTGTCTGGCTTGAGAATCCCAAAGGTCCATATTCCAGCGTCCCTGTGCGGGAGTCTGTGCCTCGTGACTCTGAGTATGGGCAGACAACCTTTCCTCAACCCCCTCTAATGCACTGTGCTCCTGGTTTGATGAGGAAACAGCAACTCTAGTCAGCTCTGTTTGAAAGATCCTCTCTTCACATAAGACACTCTCTATGCCCTTTATTTTTTTTAAGAATTAATTCATTATTATTTTTTTTTTTGGAAAGATTTTTGCTATAGGACACATGCACTCACAGGAGAGAGATACAGAAAGTGAGAAACCACTCCCTAGGGGAGATGGCCACATCATAGTCCCTTCTCCTCTATTCTCCTCTTGAGATATTGGGCACACATGCACACACACCCAGTGTGAGTTTTAAGCCACCCTGTCCAGGACTCGAACTGTGATTGACTACATGGGAGTCCAGCTACATAACCATTATGCCATCTGCTGGTCCCTAAAATGAGAGAGACAGAGAGAGAGAGAAAAGAGAAAGTGAGAAAGCAAAGCACTAGGTCCAGGCTCAAACTGGACTTGGCCCACGGCCATGTGGGAGTCCAGTGCCCCAACCACCATGCCATCTGCTGGCTTCCTCCATGAAGTTTTTTATGTGGTTTCATGGATACGTTCTGAGGTTTCATGTAGACGGTGAGACCTTTGGGGACAGAATCTGCTTTTTACCTGTTTCCTGAGCCCTGATGCCATGTATAGATGAGACCGTCGATATGCCCTTGTATTCTCTGGCTCTCATTCGCCCACTTTCTTAGGAATCACGTGTTGAAAGACAGTGTCCCCAGTGGGTAAAAGCACTGACTTGGGAGCCTGATGGCCTGGGGTCCACTCTGCCTTACCACTTACTGATATGTAATTTCGGGCAAGTGATTTACTCTCTGCCTGTTTTCCCATCAGGATGGCAGTAGCTTCTACCTCATGCAGTGTGCACAGACAACTCTGTGGATGTTGGATTTTTATTATTATGCTGCTAGTATGTTAATCTCTTACAGGATTAATTTAATTTCTAGGTCTTTTTTTAAAGATTGTGGTAAAATATACGTAACATGAAATTTACTGTCTTAACCCTTTTTAAATGCACAATTCAGTGATGTTAAATACATTCATATTATTTGCACAGGCCAGAAGCAGTCTTCAGAACTTTCTTTATCTTGCAAAACTGAAACTCTGTACCTTTTAAGCAGTACCTCCCAGTCCCTCTTCTCCCAGCCGCTGGCAGCTACCCGTCTGCTTTCTGTCTCTCTGAGTTTGACTGCTCGAGGTATCTCGTACAAGTGGAATCGTGCAGGGTTTGTCTTTTTGAGACCAGCTTATGTGGCGTAGCATAATTCCACATCTGTTTTATCTACTTTCAGGGATTAAAAATCTTCTATTGCTTCTATGAAAGAAAAAATTTTGAATCTTTTATTTATTTTTTTTTAAATTATAGGTTACGTGCTTGTGCTTCCTGTCTGTACACATGCACATGCACAAGAGAAGCATCTTCCATGGGTTCAGTTACACCGTGATCCCTTTCTTCCAGTTCTCTAGCCAGGCAGGATCCTGGGCATGCACACATGTCTGGCACGTTTTCAGGGTGACTAGACCAGGGGCTCCAACTGTCATCGACATACGGCTTTCTGCTCTGTAATCTGGTACACTACCAGCCACCCCACAGGGGCTGAGCCAAAGTCCTCACTCCTCACTCTTGCATTCACAGCCTTGTGTGGCGTTCATAGTGTGTCTGACCCCTTACCTTCCAGCATTTTCCCTGCCTGTGCTCCAGCCGGAGTTCACTCATGTTCTTACCTTCATGCCTTTGATTCTAGTTCTCCCTCTTCATTCCTTTCCTGTTCCCTCCTCTCCTCAGTCTTCTCCCCTCTTTCTCAATCTTAATCTATTCTGGTGAAATATATTAGTAATGTGGACCCAATCCCTGGGCCCTTCAATGAAATTGTCTCTGATCTTTCCACATCATGACAAATTTGCCCTTATTTGAATCACTATAGCCTTTTCAGTATGAAACCATATACCATTACGGGTTGACTCTCCCTTATCCAAAATGCTTGGGACCAGAAGTATTTGAGACCAGCAGTTAACGTAATGGCTATGTCACTGAACTCCCACGTAGTTGACCGTGGTTCGAGTCCCGGACCTGGTAGCATAAACTCATGCCAGGTGCGTGTGTGTGCGTGCCCAAGATCCCAAGAGGAGAATGGAGGAGAAGGGATTGCAGCAAGGCCATACCCTCTGGGGGGTGATTTCTCGCTTTCTATCTCTCTGTCTCTGTCTGTCTGGCGAGTGCACGCGCCCTATAGCAAAAACCTCTCCAAAAAAAAAAAAGAAGTACTTCAAATTTTTTTCAAATTTTGGAATATTTGCATACACATCATGTGATGTCTTGGGGATGGGACCCAATTCTAAACACGAAATCCATTTATGTTTCATATATACCTTATACACATAGCCCGAAGGTGAGGTAATATTTCCGTGTTGTACTGTTTTGACTGAGACCCATCACATGCCATCAGGTATGAAATTTATTTGTGTCATGTCATGCTCAGAAGTCTTGGATTTTGGATTTCCGATTTTTGGATTAAGGATGATTAACCTGTACTGTGTTTTTAAAATTTCATCTGGCATTGTTCATCTGGCATTGTTCATTAATTCTCATTTTCTCTGTAAAAACCTTTGTTTGCTTCCCCAAGTAGATTGTGGTTTAGCATTATGGGCTATAATATTTTTCATGGTATTATTTAGCAGTGTTGTGTAGAGAGTAATTGCTGGAGGGATAAACAACTGCCCTTAAGATCGCATTTGGAAGTCTCTACAAGGAACCATCTTGTTGGCCCAGCCTCTGTGGCACACTTGGTAGAGTGCCAAGCTGCAGTGCAGTAAGCCAAATGGTGACTGTGGCCTGGAATGCCCGGGGTATGCATGCAGATGTCCAAGATCTGATGAGCTAGAGGGTCGAGGAGGGGCACTGCAGCATGGCTGTACCCTGTGGAGGGTGCTTCTCTCTCTCTCTCCCTCTCTCTTTCATGTGCATGTGTACACGCTCTATTATAAATTAAGAAAAATATGTAAAAGATTAAAAACCAGGAAAGACAAAGAAATTTTGTTCATTTATTCAACTTCTACCTGTGTTTTCTCCCTAACCTCCATTAGAGAGTTCCAGTGAGTCCGAATGTGAGTCCGATGAAGACAGCACCTGTTCTAGCAGCTCAGATTCTGAAGTTTTTGACGTTATTGCAGAAATCAAACGCAAAAAGGCTCATCCTGACCGACTTCACGATGAACTTTGGTACAATGACCCAGGCCAGGTGTGTGTGTTTTTATAGCTCTTGCTATGAAGGTTGCAAACCTATACATCACATTTATGGCTCTGAGCTCAGAAGATGCATGTTGGCCAATATCAGAACTGAATTTTACTCCCAGGAATATGTGCCATTCTTCAGACCTTATTTCTGTTCACCTTCAGAGTTCAGCTCCAAAGCATAAGCACCAAAGCAGCTGTTCTTTGAATCATATTTGATGATGTTTGTAAATTCTGTGCTGGGGAGCAGGATAATGGTGCTGCCTCATTAAACTTGCAGCAGACAGAAGGAGATAAATGGCAGGATGAGGGAGAGAAATCTTGTAGGTCTCTTTAAAAGCAGCTTGCCTAGAAGATTTCTTGCTGCAAAATAGTAAATAAGTCCTATCAAACTTCATTTTTTGAGTTGTTAACAATCTCAAGTCCTTGTAAGTTCTCTTTGTTAAGCATGTTTGAGGCTAATAGTATCATGGCTGGACATAAAAGATTTGTGTCTTAAAGATACGTGTTACATACAAAAATAGTACCTTCAATGCATGTGAAGTTATTAAGCATAGTAAGATGTATACCTATATATGTTTTATCAATTAATTTAAAATTTATGTTTTGCAAATAGATTCATATCATTCTGTACTATTGAGTCGTTAGAGAAGTCATGATGTATTTTTGTGTGTTTCCTATGCAAACACAGAAAAAATGCATCATGACTTTTCGAACTACCCAGTAATTAGAATATTCTTTTGGTTCTTGTTAGATGGCACCAATCTACATTTTTACTTCCTTAGTACCATTACAGTTAGGCTGTCTGGTAAAAATATACCTTTTTGTGCCTTTGCTGTCTTGGATTTGAGCAGCATTTATTTGCAGAACTTACAATGCAGTGACTGAGCGCAAGAGGGTGTGTGCACTTGCCTCAGAGAGACAGAGAGACTAAAAGAGGGAGATACAGGGCATGGTCCCTGCGATTCCTTCTCCATTTCTCCATTTTATCATGATTTTAGGCATGCATGCACATGTGCCTTGTGTTTTTCAAGCCACTGGCGATTCACATAGCAATTAGCCATGTGAGATCCGACTCCCTTAATCAACCAGGCCATGGGGCTGGCCCAAACAGTGCTTTTTATTTATTTATTTATTTTAATCCCCACCAGGCACATGTGCTCATCAAAGAGAGAGGGAAAGGCAGAAAGCACCTCCTTGATGGGATATGGTCATTATCACAATCCTTTCTCCATTTTCTTGTCCTATCAGAATTTGGGGCATGTATACATGTGCACCTGGTGTGTTTTTTAAGCTTCTGGGACTGAGATTTGAACCATGGGACCAGCCATGTGGGATCCAGCTCACTTAATTGTAGGCTATGGGTCTGGCCCCAACCAGTACATTTTAAAACTTATTTTTGTACATTGATCATGTGTATTTTTTTTTAAAAGCAGCTTTATTTAATTATAATTTATATATGGTACAACACTTTCATTTATAACCCAGTGTTCTTTAGTGTGTTCCATAAAAGAAACCTTTCTATTGTATATGATCTTTTTCACTGACTGTCATTCTGTCTATCAGGAAGCTTCTACCTTGATTTCTGTGGATTTTGAGTCCTATCAGTGTTTGCCAGGACCTTCTCTGTGGTCTCATTATTCTGTTCACTGTATTTGTTTTTTTGTCCTTTGTACTGTCAGGCCTTATCAAAGGCTGCTCCTTGTAGTAGACCCTGGTAAAAGGCAAACATGGAGGCTGGCTCTCTGCTGCCCTAGATGTCAGTGAACATTAAGTGATTTTTTCCATGTTTTTCATCACAGCAAGTTACGACCAGCATCAAGAGTGTGTTGTGACCTTTGACAGAATTCTATTATATCTCTTATTTGCCAGCTGTTACTCTAGATGGTATCTTAATTTTTTTTTCTTTCGGTAGTAATATTATTTCTCTGCTGACCACCTGGAGCTTTAGGTTTCCCTGAAGGTTAAATAAGATTAGCTTTTTACTTTAATATTTCTTTTCAGGGTCTTATTGAAATATTTTTATTTATATTTATAAATCCCTAGAGCTTTAAAGAAACATGTGTAGACATATTTTTTAATTAATACAAAAAAAAAAGAGAAATAGAACTCTATTTCCTCGTCATCCCTGTCTTCAACTCTGGTCTTCGTTCAGATTTGGTTTTACTGTTTTTATTGCATAAACTCTTGAAACTGGCTTTTACAGCCATTCAGAGTTTACCTTAGTTCTGCTTCTTTGGTTTTCTTGCTCATGTAAGTGATCCATTCCATTTAGGTGGGCTCTCGGCCCCAGAGCTTTACCATAGGCTTTTTCTGCCTTCCCTTTTACTCTCATACATGCCGCTGCCTCACGTGGAATAATCATGTTCCTTTTCTGTCCTGGCCAGCCCTTCACTTTTCTTTTCTTTGAAATCTCCCCTAACCAAACACAGCAACCCCAGTGGTAGCTTCATTTAGAGTCATTTTCTTTCTTCTTCTTCTTTCTTTCTTTCTTTTTTTTTTTTTTTTTTTTTTTTTTTAAGATACTTTTGCTGTAGGGCGCATGCACTCACTGGAGAGACAGAAGACAGAGAGATAGAAAATGAGAAATCACCCTCCTAGGGGAAAGAGCCATGCTGCAGTCCCCTCTTCTACTATCCTGTTGGGGACCCTGGGCACGCACACACACTTGCCCAGCTTGAGTCCCAAACTGCCAGGTCTGGGACTCAAACCGTGATTGATCAACTATATGGGAGTCCAGCACCTAAACTACCATGCAACCTGCTGGCTCCTAGAGTGATTGTCTTTTAAAATTTTTTCTAAGCATATCACATATATGTTATTCTTCTATGTAGAATAAGTGTTCCTTGAGTACATGGACCATGTGCTATTCACTCCACCCCGCTGTGCTTAGCACTCACCCTTCTAACTAGAAGCCATTCAGGATTGTTCCTGAATTGAGTCTTGGAAGACAAATGAATTTGGGTTAAAAAACGATATATTCTAATCTGGCCAGTGTTGAAAGTTTTTCTGGTTCTTGTATGCATGTTCTTCTCTCTGCTTCAGAGATACATTTAAGTTTCTTTTTTCAAAAACATTTAATCTGGAGGTCACCTTCAGAGCATTCTGTGTATTCCTCCAGAATATAAAAAATGCTTTTTTGGTGAAAGAGTCATTTTTCCTGAACTAAGAAATAGGAACAAAATGTACTGAAAAGAGGTAGGAGAAGATGGGGGCAAACAGTGTGCTGACATTGATATTTTCTGCTCGGCTGCACAAATAACTCGGAATCCGGCGTTGTCATACAGTTTCCCTTTATCAGACAATATGGACAGTTTGCAGCTTTATTGGTTTTGGAACATCCGTTTAATCTTCTAACCGTGACAGCCTCTTCAGAGCTTCAGTACTCATGACATTAAAACCCACACAGCTTCTGAGGCATCATCGTGCATGGCGTGGATTTTCCCCCCAATAAAAGCGAATTACATTCTGTTTCTGACAGATGAATGACGGGCCACTCTGCAAATGCAGCGCAAAAGCGAGACGCACAGGAATTAGGCACAGCATTTATCCCGGAGAAGAGGTAACTGGTTTGGGTTATTACCTTTGTAAGTGCTGAGAATCCAGAAGCGGACAGATATCGTTGCTATTCTTTTCCACATAAATGAAATAATACCATTAAAATACTCTCTCCATATTCCTTAATAGTCTTCATCACTGATGATTGTGGGGGAAAAGTACTTGGGTTTGGGGGTGAAGTGGGCAGTGTTAGCCAGGAAACTTGAAAGTTTTGGAAGGTTCAGCACATAAAACAGACAAGGTATACTGGATATGTGTTTTAAGTATTCAAGAATTAGGGACCAGCAGTTGGTGTAATGTCTATGTCACTGGACTCCCATGTAGTCAACCATGGTTCAAGTCCTAGACCTGGTGAGTTAAACTCAAGCTGGGCACGTGTGCATGCGTGCCCAAGATCCTGCAAGGAGAATGGAGGAGAAGGGATTGTGGCGTGACCATCCCCCCTGGGGGTGATTTCTCGCTTTCTGTCTCTCTCTGTCTTTCTGGAGAGCACATGTGCCCTAATAGCAAAAACCTTAAAAAAAAAAAAAAAAAAAAAATTAAAGAATTGCACATATTACAATTTTTCTAATGTTTTCCTCATAAATGGTTATGAGTCGCCCTAGGAAGGATCTTACGAATGTGCTCTTTCCTCGTGTAGGTGAGGCAGCCATTTGCTACCTGCTTGTACCTTTTGCCTGTCGTGGCAGTGCTTTTCAGATTCACTGTCTTTGTTAGTCTGTTGTCCCCATTGAGTCATGTACCAACTGTGCACCCCCTGCTCCTGGTTTGTTAGGGATACTCTGTAATTTTTCCTCCTTATTCATGGAGGAGCATGTGTGGGTACTTGTGGAGTAGTGGAGAGAGAGAGAGAGAGAAGCACCTTTCAAAGGCCTGGTCACATCGCAATCCCCTTCCTCCGTTCCTCCAGCCTGTGGGGTCTTGGGCACACGCATGCTTGCCTGGTGTGTTTCAGGCTGACCAGGCTGGAGGTTCAAAGCATGGAAGGACACTTTTCAATTTGATTGAACGGATAAAACACTTGTACATCATAGCATCATATGTAACTACTCCCTTTCAATTATTTTCCTTCATTTTTTCCCATTTTTGTAAGCTATTTTTATTAATCCCAGGATTATCACTTGATTCATTGCATTGTGTTTAAAAATGATGTATGTAAATCCTGAATTTCTATTTAAGGCTATTTGAGACCGTAATAATAATTGCAGTGATGACTGTGAGACAGTGCCTGCTAGTTTGAAATGCATGGCTCACTTTTACCTCATTTGTCTTTGAAAGTCAGCAAGTATAGCAAGGATCTGAGGGACACGGTGGCATCTGTGAGCGTCCATACATGTGCCTCTGCTTGGGGACTCTGAGGTGTTGACTGGAGACCCGCACCTATGACAAGAAGAGAGCAGAGGGAAACAGAAATGAGCAGAGGGAGCAGTTCACCTGTGAGGAGGATCTGACCCGGCATGGCTTGGCAGAATTCTCTTCTGTTGCAAGAGAATGGTCTTCATACCCCCTCCTCCCGTCTTTAATGTGGGTGGCCCACAAAGGGCACGGGCTTGGGGAAGGGAGCTCCTTAACTGAGGCGGACCCTGAAGCAAGCAGCAGCTGCAGGCCGGGTGCTGACTACTTCTCACAGTTGGGCAGGAGCCTCCTTGAAGAGGTGCTGAGTGGTGGTGCTAGCTGAGGACCGACAGGCAGGAAAGGCAAACTCACATTCAGAGCTCACATTTATTCCCAGGAGAACAAGCTCTGGTCCTTTCAAGATGGGAGAGATCTATGCTGTCAACTTACTACCTAGTGGCAGCTCATTCTCCTCTGGGAGTGGCACCATTTTGGGGGCTCAGCATGGATTACCATGCTCAGTTGTGGCAGTTAGCTTAGTTAGCTTAGCTTTGCTAAATAGGATCTGTGCTTTTGACCTGATGTGAAGTTTCCATCTCTGCTACTGTAGCCACTTCATTCATGAGCCCTTGGTATCACTGTGAGGTGGTGCTGGCTGACACCACCTGCCTCAGTTGTTTTGTCTGGTTGGTGTGCCGGGGCTTCTCCACGGTGGCTGCTTTCCTATCAACTCTTGCATGTCATCAGCATGTTCTCTCTCATTTTGATTGAACGGATAAAACACTTGTACATCATAGCATCATATGTAACTACTCCCTTTCAATTATTTTCCTTCATTCCTCCACAAACCTTTACCCTCAAACCTTCTTGTCTCTGATCTTAGCCCTCAACAGTTGGCATGGCCTCCTGCTTCTACCTAAGAGTTGATATGTAGTCTGACTTCTGGCCACTTCTCTGCTTGCACATAGTGGGTAACCAGGTACATTGCTTGAAACTCAGCCCGCAGCGGGGAGATTTTTTTCCTCATCGCTGTCTTTGAGAGTCTTCCCTGAGTGAGCCTTCTAGTCCACCAGCTTGGAGAGCTTTGCTTGACCTACCCTCCAAGCTGGGGCCTCCCTTTGCTCGTCTGTCACCAGTGATGGGGTCTTTGTTGCTGACAGGGTGGGAAGTGATACAGTTTTTCTTGGATCATTCTTGGTACCAGTCAGCACATACTGAGTTCTCTGGAAGCAGATGCCAAGATGGAGTTTGGGTGCATTTTATTAGGCATCAGCTCCTGTAGAAGGAAAAGGATATAAGCAGGATTAGAGAGCAGTCACCCATCAGTCAGCCAGGGGGGCAATCTAGGGACTGAGAATTGACTGCCAAGTTGGGCTGAAACTGCTGGCCTTTAGTCCTGTGCCATGGTCGGTACCTGGGCACCTGTGTCAGGGGAGGGGCGCTGCAGCCCAGAGAGCTGAGAGAGCTGACAGCTGGGCCCTCTGTGTCCATGCCCACCACAGCTGCTCAGAGTGCTTCCTCTCGGGCAGTGAGGGGCAGATCCTGTGTCTAGCAGCGTGCACACTGGGATTCCACTGATGGCTTTCTTTTTGTTCGATTCCTGTTTTTCTTTTCTCACGTAAACTCCATGCATATTCTGTTCTACAACTTCTACTTCCTTCATCTCTGACCTTCTTTCTTACATTTCGACTCAGCACATTAAATCTATTTTTATTTCTGTTTTTACTCAGTATAATTATTCCTTTCTGTTTTTCATTTCCTATGAAACCTACTGCAATTATTTCTGAGATTAATTTCCCTATTTGTTTTAAATGTATTCATAAGTTTAGCCAGAGGTTCATTGTTATTTTACAAGTAATAGGAGGAAGAAAGATGCTCACTGGATTTTAGATCTAGAAAGATTTTTATGTCATGTTTTCAGAACTCCTCCATAGTATATTATAGGAGACTTATCAAAGCTGTGGGATCAATGATAGGGCTTAGTCATGGTGGCACAGGTGGTAGGGAGTGGCTGCATGAGGCTGGGGCCTCAAAGGAAGTCCGAGTTCAGATGCAAGACCCACCTGGGTCAATAGCATGCACCTGCAATCGTGGCTAACGGGTGTGCTGGGACATAGAAGTGCGTTGTCTAGACCCTATCAAAAATACCTTTCTCGGGAACCAGCAGTTAGCGTAATGGCTATGTTGCTGGACTCCAACGTAGTTGACCGGGGGTCATGTCCTGGACCTGGTGACTTAAAACTCACGCCGGGCACGTGTGCGTGTGTGCCCAAGATCCCGAGAGGAGAATGGAGGAGAAGGGATTGCGGCGTGACCATCCCCCTGGGGGGTGATTTCTCACTTTCTGTCTCTATGTCCCTCTCTGTCTGTCTGGTGAGCACACGCGCCCTATAGCGAAAACCTCCCCCCCCCCCAAAAAAATACCTTTCTCTCTCTTTCTCTCTCTCCTTCTCTTGTCTCCTTTCTCCTCACTCTCTTACTTTGCATTCTTCCCCCTCACTGTATTTTTTAAAAAAAGAGTTAATGATCACCACTTATTCACTCGGGTGTTCCCAGGGTCAGTGCACTGTGTCAGCAGTGTGATACTTCAATCCTGGGACTTTCCAGCAGGGAAGACCACTTCATCATAGATGGCAACTCTCATAAACTTTAAGACAAAGCTAAGCCTTATAAGGGTAGCTGAAGTTCCCTACCTGCTAATGACCCAGACGAAATATAGGTGTAAGGAAGGGAGAAGAATCCCCTGAATTCTGAAAATTGTCTTCAGTGAAGGACCCTCTCCCAGCTCATCTGGTCCTCTGACCTCCCCCTCCCTGATCTGTACTGCCGATGTCCCCTAAGAGTGCTGTCAGCCTAAAGCACTTGAGCATCAGATGGTATTGAAGACATACCTTTAACACAAATGAGACTAAAGGGGAGAAATAGTCTTTGGGGAAACCACTTAACCAGGAGCATCCAAAACTCCTAAAGGTGACAGTTGTCAACCACAATGGGCTTCCGGCAACCAATTAGGTCATGATCCCCATTACTCTGGAAGAATCTGGAGTTAGTGACTGGGGACCGGCTCTAGTCAGGAAGTGGCATGGCCTCATTCTAAGGAATGATCCCTAGTAGTCAGCAGGTTTTTTTCTGTTTTTTTTTTTTTTTTTGTCTGGTTCCTGCCTTCTCCATGCACCTTGTGACTTTGTTGTGGAAATGGAAATGGCCACCAGGCAAAACCTTCCATCATTATTGGGGAAAAAGGCCTCGGCCTCGCAGTAAGGGGGGAGCAGCTCCCGGGAGGAAGACGGTGTGGATGCCTGCCTGAGTGGAGGGGATGCCCATGGCTTGGAGAGCCAACCACTGACTGGTATGCCTCTAACCCCTCCTGAGAGAGGAGTGCCTTCCCTAATAGAGTCCTGATACCAGGCTGCCACAGATCAGGAAGGCTAAGGTAGAGCTTTACTGGGGAATTGCCTCTGTTGTCTGCTATGGGGTGTTCTAAGCGTTTTCCTTGATAGATTCCTGGTCTAATGCTACTGTGAAGTCCACCAGATTACTAAAGGGTGCATTGGTCCTGTTGTTCCTTTTTTTTTTGTCTGGTTCCTGCCTTCTCCATGCACCTTGTGACTTTGTTGTGGAAATGGAAATGGCCACCAGGCAAAACCTTCCATCATTATTGGGGAAAAAGGCCTCGGCCTCGCAGTAAGGGGGGAGCAGCTCCCGGGAGGAAGACGGTGTGGATGCCTGCCTGAGTGGAGGGGATGCCCATGGCTTGGAGAGCCAACCACTGACTGGTATGCCTCTAACCCCTCCTGAGAGAGGAGTGCCTTCCCTAATAGAGTCCTGATACCAGGCTGCCACAGATCAGGAAGGCTAAGGTAGAGCTTTACTGGGGAATTGCCTCTGTTGTCTGCTATGGGGTGTTCTAAGCGTTTTCCTTGATAGATTCCTGGTCTAATGCTACTGTGAAGTCCACCAGATTACTAAAGGGTGCATTGGTCCTGTTGTTCCTTGTACTTCTGATGAGACAGCACAGCTCTCAGGGCACGTCCTGTACCTGTAATGCCTGCTGGGTGCTGCAACATGCCCAAATCCTATGAGCACACCTCATTGGCATCTCTCTGTCTGGAGGACCCAGAGTCCTGTGCGCTAGGGAAGGCCAGCCTCAAATGTGCTAATTACTGTTGGCCATACTGTGTGGCAAAGGAAGCAGCTGCCACCTCCACACCTAGCTTCCTTGAGGAGGTAGTCCAGCCACCACAAATATCCATGAAGAGATACACCCCTAATTTGGATGGAAAGTCAGAGTCTGCTTGAATACCTGAGGCAGAGACCCTATGAGAAGGGCACTGCTGACTCCACTGTCTGTACTGAGAAGATGTGGTGTGCAATGATGGATCACTAAATGAAGCACCTGATCTCCGAAGATAGTAAAATCAGTTCATTACTTAAAGACCTTGGCCAGCTTATCTAAGAAGACAACCAGATGGGGCCTGGATGCAGAGTGGGCAGACATAGGATATTCCTATACTCAGTTCCCATGGTTCTTCTTGGCCTGGTGAGTAGCACCCCTGGCATGACCTCCTCCTATCAAGCTTTGAAGGTGGCTGACGTGCAGTTGAGGAAAGAAGAGAGCTACTAAGCATTTACGTGTTCCAGAGGGTTTATCAGCTGTCACCCCCAGTGGACGGAACGCTTGGGAGAGAGTCTCGGTCAGGCTACCGTAGGCCCAGGTGCTACACTGGTATCTTCAAGGAGAACCCAACTACTGGTCACAGCTACTCACTCTCCTGGTTCTGATGGTTGCAGCCTTCAAAATTAATCATGCCCTGAGGCTCTGACCACCCTGGAAAATGCATAGGCACAGCCATTCTAAGAAGTGTTCGCAGCAGTAACACCCTCTTTCCCCCACCTGGGTGTACCTCTCCCCTGGGCTTCTCTAATTCCATTGCCCACAGGAAGAGACCCAGTCCATTCTCTACTGCAGCTACATCAAAGGGGATCCCCAAACTAGTCATCTCTGGCAAGCCTCATGAGTTCCTCCTGAGCCTCCTTGACACTGCTGTGGCCCCTCATGCACCCACCTGGAAGAAGAACATCACCAAGGCTTTGCCAATGACGGACCCCTGTGGGCTCTTCCATTGCCACCCATTCATAAGCTGATATATTTTGAGAGTCCTAGAACCCACAGAGTTGTATGTCCTTAGTGGACACTGATCACAGGCCATTCTGATGCCTGCTTCACCAGCACATGAGGAAAGGGCTGAGAACTGGTGACCAGCCAGCCCTTTTTATTTATCTAGTTGATGGTAAGGCAGGTACTCATCCTTTCTACCAGTCTGTGAAAGAATGCACATAAAACTTGTTTGCTCAGATATGAATCTAGAATATACAGGCTATTTTGAAACTAAAATCTTTTGTTACTTTACATGTAAACTCATTTTTATTTCTTCCCCTCAGAACATCAAGCCTTGTCGTCCGATGACCAACAATGCTGGCAGACTTTTCCACTATCGGATTACGGTTTCCCCCCCTACAAACTTTTTAGTAAGTTCATAACAAATCAGATTTCATGTAATTTAAAGTGTAAACAGATTAAAGTGTGAAGTATTTTATCTATATGTTGATAAAATTGGTCTTTTTTTTTTTTTTGCCGTAGGGCATGTGCACTCATGGTGGGGGAGGGGGGGAATGAGAAATCAACCCCCAAGAAGGAATGGCTACTCTGCAATCCCTTCTCCATTCTCCTCTTGGAATTTGGGCACGCACACACATGCGCCTGGTGTGATTTTTCAGGCTGCCAGGTTTGGAACTTGAACCAGTCGACTATGTCAGAGTCCAGTGCCCTAACCACCATGCCATCTGCTGGCTCCCAGCCTTTATCTTAATGATGCTTTTTCCAGTTTCCTCTCACTATCTTACTTTACCTTTGTTAAAATTTATATTGTTGGGGGAACCAGCAGTTAGCGTAATGGCTATGTCGCTGGACTCCCACGTAGTTTACCGCGGTTCGTGTCCCGGACCCGGTGGCTTAAAACTCACGCTGGGCGCGTGTGCGTGCGTGCCCAAGATCCCGAGAGGAGAATGGAGGAGAAGGGATTGCGGCGTGACCATCCCCCCTGGGGGATGATTTCTCGCTTTCTGTCTCTATGTCTCTCTCTGTCTGTCTGGCGAGCTCACGCGCCCTACAGTGAAAATCTCTCCAAAAAAAAAAAAAATTTATATTGTTGGTACTGCATAATAGTCAAATTTATAATAGCCACTGAATTAGGAAACTTCACTAGAAATGTGGAGTGGGGAGAATGTGTAGAATACTTCTCTGTTTTTAAAAATCAGCAAACAGCTTATTTATTATCTACTGGCCCCAAAGAAGAAAATCTAGTATTTATGACGGTAAAAATGACACCTAGTATTTGTTGAGCATGCACTGTGTTCCAGGTACTATTCTAAGTGTTTCATATATACATATTATATTACACATTTTGCTATAGGTTTTTGCATGCGCTCACCAGAAAGACAAACAAAAAGCGAGAAATGAGAAATCACCCCCTGGGGGCATGGCCATGCTGCAGTCCCTTCTCCTCCATTCTCCTTTTGAGATCTTGGGCACACATGCACACACGCCCTGGTGAGTTTAAGCCACCGGGTCCAGAACTTGAACTGCGGTCAACTACATGGGAGTCCAGTGACATAGCCATTACGCCAACTGCTGTTACCTATTTTTTATATTTTTTTGCCACAAGGCATGTGTGTTCACCAGAGAGAGAGAGAGACAGAGGAAAAGTGAGAAATTGCTCCCCCCAGAGCAGATGGCCACACTGCAATCCTGTCTCCTCCATTCTCTTCTTGGCATTTTGTGTATGAATGCACATGTACCTGGTGTTTTTTGAGCTTCCTAGTCCAGTACTGAGACCTAGAGTGGGATGCAGTACCTTAACTACCACACCCCCTGCTGGCCCATCATTCTAAGTGTTTTTAATCTGTATTAATTTATTTAATTTTCACATCAAGCCTATGACATAAATATTATCTCCATCCATTATACTAATGGAGTAGTGGTCCACTTTTCAGAGATGAGGTTAAGTAACTTGCTCAGGATTACTCAGTAACTAAGAGGCAGTGTGGTTATTTAAACCCAGGGAGTCAGTGCCAGTGTATCTGACTATATGCTATTCTTCTAGGCTGTGTTACCTTTTACAGGGTAAGATTTAAATTCTGAGTCTCGTGTCCTCAAGTGATTTCAATTTCAAAATTAGATTACTCACAATTAAATATTTTAACAACTTTATTGATATAACGCATACCACCCATACTATAAAATTCGTAACATAAAATTTACCCACTTCAAGTAAATAATTCATGATTCTTAGTCTCTTTACTGAGTTGTAAAATCATCATCATAGTCTAACTTTAAACATTTTCCTCATCCCAAAAGAAACTCTGTATTCATTAGCAGTCAGTTTTTTCCCATTCCTCAGCCTTGAGCAACTATGAAGATGTTGGTACTTTCTCTATGGAATTGCCGTTTAAGAAATTTAATAGGAGTGGGATCATTCACTGTGTCGTCTTTTGGGTCTGACTTCTTTCACTAAGCATAATTTTTTCAAGATACGCCCATGTTGTAGCATGCATCAGTAATTCATTTCTTTTTGTGGCCAGATACCGTTCTATCATATGAGTACTGCATGTTTTATTTATCCATTCGTCCATCATGGACAATGGGTTGCCTCTACTTTTTGGCTATTATAAATAATGCTGTGTGAACATCTGTGTCCAGGTGTTTGTGTTGATGTGTTTTCATTGCTTTTAGGGGTATACCTAGGACTGTATCACTAGATCACTTAACTCCATTTTTAATATATTGAGGAACTGCTATTTCCCAAGGTTGCTATACCATTATTAATCTTTATCAGCAGTTCTTTTTACTATATTTAATTTAGACCAACTTTTTAAAGTTACTTAAATAGAAATAGTAGTATTGGTAAAGCAAATAATGTGTACGGATACTTTTTAGTCCTGCTGCCCCAGTTTCTTCTTATATGTATAATGTTTAAAAGAATATTCAATGCCTATGTAAGAAATGTGTCATTGGGGCCAGTAGGTGGTATAGTGGTTACAGTGCTGAGCTCCCCAATGACCAACTGCAGTTTGAGTCTCAGACGCTGCAACTAGAAACTCATGCCAGGAGCGTGTGTGTGCATGCCCAAAATCAAGAGAGGAGAATGGAGGAGAAGGGACTGTGGCATGGCTGTCCCCACTGAGGTGGGGGGGGTTTCTCACTTTCTCTCTCTGTCTCTCTCTGTCTCTCCAGTGACTGCACATGCCCTATAAAGAAAAGAATCTCTCTTAAAAAAAAGAAATGTATCATTTAGGTTACCAATCTTGATAATTACCTTCATATTTAACCTTTAAGATTAAAAATGGTGGGCTATAGAAGTGGCATAAGGAAGAGAGAATGTTTAGATTGACAGTTATGTTTATAATTACAAATTCAATTTTCAGGTAATTAAAATCTTTGACATTGTGTGGGAGTTGATTTGCTGCAGTGTTTGGTGGGTTGGCTTCTCTTTGGAGAGGCTGGGAACAGCTATGAAGGGTTAAACGTCAGGCACTCTGAGGCCTTCTAGAACCTTCTGGGCTGTTGCTAGTCTTGACCACCAGTGTGACTTTTTTTGTACTTTGCATTTGGATAAGCTGTGTTATTTTATTCCTTTTGGGACTGTTGGATCATAGATATTATTCAGTAAGAACAGAACTGGTGGTATTATGGGATTAATAAAGCAAGTTTCTTGAAAATGAAGCCACATATATTCATATATGGCCTTTTATTTTCTCTTTATGGTACGCATAATAAATACCACTGATTGCCTCAGTGTGTAAAGAATATACTTAATATCAGAAGCAGAGAATTCCACCTAAAATTAAACTTTTACTTAAAGTTCTCCCCCTTGTGATTGGGAAAAGGCTGACAGCCCATGAAGTTCCTATGTTTCTCCTGTTGGTTATGTTGTGTCCCGATATTGGCTTGTCAGAAAAGTCACGATGCATGTCTTTGCATAGAAAAACAGATAACTATGTCATGACTTTCTGATGACCCAGTAGGTTCCTGCACATGCAAAGTGTATCATTTATTTAATTTGTATTTTGTATTTCTGTTTGTTTGTAGACTGACAGGCCAACCGTTATAGAATATGATGATCATGAGTATATCTTCGAAGGATTTTCTATGTTTGCACATGCCCCCCTGACCAATGTAAGTATGTGCCAATTGGCTGACGTACTTGTTGCTCGTACCATCTTCCTTCTTTGCACTCCCTTCATCCTTTCTGGATTTCCCTTCATCTGTCTCCCTAACTTCCCTGCATAAGCCACAGGAAGTCTGCAGCAGTGTATCAGGTGGGAGGGAGTATGACATCTTTGTTAATGAATCACAGGTTTGGTCCACATTAAATGGTGTAAATAAACGTGTCAGAATAACATTTTGAAAGTGTGAAAGATTTAAAAGGAGGATAAACTGTGGAGTAATGCGTCGAAGCTATTTTGAGTGGATTGTCCTTCAAAAGAAAGTTGGAAAGTTTTAAGGAGAAGCTATTAGTCTCTGAGCAATAGAAAGAGAAATAGAGCTTATCTAGGACATCTGCCACCTGAATTAATTTCATGCAGTTTTCTGCTTTCGAATCCCAAGAATATGTCTTCTTTAAGAGACCATCTGACATAGAGGTTCATGGTATTTTTAATAGCTATTAAGGCCACTTTGTTAATAATTGTTCAAATGGAAGTTCTCTATCTGTGAGTCAAAATCTTTTCATCTCAAAGCTAGCAATCTTAGGGATTGTCTTTAAGTTATCCATATTCCAGCTTGACATTGAGTGCATTTGCTGCTAGCAGCACAGGAAAGATACATAGCAGTATCCTTTACCCAGTCCGGATGCTGTTGTGAACATACTGAATTATAGCTGTGGTGTATCCACATCAAAATGGAATGTTCTTTAATCCTTTCTGGTTTGGTTCCATGAAATTACATCTGGACTTTGCAAAGTTATTTTAGTAATGTTTACTTTGAACATGAAATCCTGTTCCATTGGCTAGTGAAGTTAAGATACAAATCTCTGCCTCACTTTGGCTCTGTCGTTCTTTTTTCTTCATAAGTAGATAAGGTTCTGTGGTAGCGATACTAATTTAAAACAAATTGTTCTCCTAATGAGATTGCCGTATTCCACAGTATATTTTATCTCAGAGAATTTTGAGAAAATGATTACATTGTAAATGTAAAAATAAAAATTGATAATGTATAGTACATCTATCTCCAGGGTGGACCATCTGTTCACTAATATAGAAGAGGAAGAAACATTGTGCCATTTGTAAATAATCTTTGAGTTGGCACTAGGTGATTTTTGAATTTTGAGAGTTCCTTTTCCTTTTTTTTTTTTTTTTTCAGTGTGTTAGGTACTCAAACCTTGTGTTACATCACATCTGACAGTGTCAGAAAAACATTTTGTAAAGGCCTTTAGAAATCATGCAGTCTAAGCACCTCATCCCTCGCTGCCTTATGAGTCTTTCTTCCACCTCCAGAGGGCTTACAAATACATGTAATTTAGTTATGGTGAAATAGTCACAATGATCCATCATCTCATCTCTTAAATCCCTAGAGGTAATAATAGATCACATGTTGACTTTCCGAATCACCGTAATCAAAGAAATTGATTAAGTGGCCTCAGGGAGACTAGGGTTTAAATGTTAGTGAATTCCGCTTACTAGCTGACTTGGCATCTTAATGTTTATAAGCCTTGGTTTTCTCATCTGTAAGATAGGGGGTCTTAGTTGTAGCCTTCATATCAACTTCTGTGAAAAAGAGATGATACAGGAAAAGTGTTTCTCATAATTTTTGGCAAATAATGAATATTGCTACCTCTTGTTTTAGAAAAGATGTCAGGCATGTTTTTGAATCTTTCTTATAATTCTATTTTTTTTTTTTCTTTTGACCTTGGGCAAGTGATTCTTTGAACTTCAGTAATGATAGCTGTGCTTGTGATATTAATGAGAATCAGAATTTTTTTTTCCCCCCAAATAGACTTTTAAGAGCAGTTTGAGGTTCACAGTGAAAGTGAGTGGAAGACAGTTTTGTTTTGTTTTTGTTTTTTTTTTAAGTTAACCTTGTCTCCCAGGACAAGGTTTAGCATTAAAGAGCCTCTAATGCTAAATTCATCACAGTTGTTAAAAAACAAAAGCTAGGACTGAAAAATTCCTGTCTTTAGCATATACTTTATGTAAGTATTCAAGTTCTTAAAACGTGAGAGCTTTGCTCTGTAATGAGGAACCCCATCATTTATATTATAGATGATGATAAAATAAATTGAGTTTTAAGCTGTGTGTTGTACAGTTCAGAGGAATTAGATCCATCAAAGGCCTCTTGAATTTGAGATAGCCTCCTCCCAGAAGGAATTTTTAAATCGCTTTGTTGATCTATTTTCTCGCTGTAGAGAGAACATCAGTAAGAAGGGCATGCAAATGATGGTAACGATAGAAACTTGACTGAGTCTATTCCAGCAAGTTCTCTTAAGGTCTTCTTTAATTTATGTAGATTGAAAGCCTCTTGGCTAAGTATAGAGCATTCCAGAAGAATTTTATCCTTTCATGTGGTACATTTGCCATTACTTAAAATATCGGATATTATAAAGGGCTTTGACAAAATAACTGTGAAGTTATAAGGTCATATGTCTAAGATGCGCAGTATCTTCTCCCATTCTCTAAAGTACAGGAAAGCCCCTTGGTCATTTTCCTCTTACCTTAGTTGGCTTTCTGATTCCTGTGGCTTCTCTGATCCCTATATTTGGTCATTCAGTGCCTGGAAATTGTTGAGTTAGAATGGAATTAGTTAGGGAGGTTTTTTGTTTGTTTTGTGATTCTTTGTGATTTTATTTATTTATTTTTCCTTTTGGATGAAGTTAGGGTCAGTCTACATATGATATTCTTTCAAGTATTCAAAGTTCTAGGAATTGTATTAAGCATTTATATTATTTGATGACATGGAGTGGGACCTGTTTTGGTGATCTTCATGGTAACAGTTTCTTGTCTGACTAATATTTAATAAAATGTCAGGTTCTCTTTTAATCTTGGAGAGAGATCAGAGTTTGAATAAACGGAAACTATCTTTCCCAATTCATATTCCTGAAAAGGGGTCTGAGGGTGCCAGCAGGTAGTGTCGTGGGTAAGGCACTGAACTCCCACTTGGCTGACCATGGTTCAAATCCCTGACCTGGCAGCTTAAAAATCATGCTTAATGCATGTGCAGAGGCGCCCAAAATCCCGAGAGGGGAATGGAGGAGAAGGGATTATGGCATGGCCATCCCTCCTGGGAGGTGATTTCTCACTTTCCCTCTCACCATCTATGTCTCTCTCCAGCAAACACACATGTCCGATGACAAAAACCTTAAAAACATAACAAAACAAAAAATGAGCTCTCAGGGTCTGGATGGAACTCTAAAAGGAAATAAAGTATAGATGTAGAGAGAAGGTCCGAGAAGGAATGCTGATTAGTTAAAAGGGAATGGGAAAGAACTTTGTATAAAGCAGCTAGCAGAGTGCTTTTGTGCATGATAGCAAGTATTGGATCCTTGGGAAAATCATGATGCATTTTTGCATAGAAAAACAGAAAAAGTACCTCATGACTTTTCTGACAGCCCAATAGTAAAAACTGCTCCTTTGCTCCTTCTCTGCCTACTGCTTGAGTATTCCCAAGAACTCTGGTCCCTTAATCTCCTATGTACATCCTCTCTTAGTAATTGAGCCTTACTCAGTTTTCCTCTCGTTCATGTTCCAGTCCCCACCAGGTCAGTACTTTGACTGGTGACATACGGCTCTGCGCTCCACACTCACATTTCTGTTTCTTACTGGTGTGCCTGCTTGGTGTCCCTCAGGTACTTCACCTTCAATCTGTACAAAACTGAATTTGTCCTATTCTTTACATGTTGAGATTGAAGTATTTCAGGGAGCGCTCCCATGAATTTCTGCTTTTGTATTAATGCCATCATGATCTATCCAGTCACTAAAGGCAGGAACCCCAAATAACCCTCTTTCTTCTGTCTCACTCCAATTAGAATGGTCACTGTGTGTATCAATACTATAGTTTAAAATTCTCCCCTTCCTTTCCAGTCTTTCATTCATTGGCTCCTGCTATTGCATTAGACTCTAGTCTGGTCTTCTGGTCTTTGTACCCCTCCAAGCCGTTCCCACACTTACTTCCATAGTGATCTGTCAAAAATGTAAACTGTGATAGTCTCTCAAAGCACCTGAGTGATTTCTCATTGGCGTGTGGCTGTGAGTCCTCACCTTAATGTGGTTTATAAGGGATGCCTGATAGAGTTCACACTTGCCTCTCTAGGATCACTGGCTTCTCTCTCTCTATGCACTTCATCCTCTGAACAGCTAATTGACCTCTTCTTTTCCCCAGCTCTCTTTTCTCTGTTTTGCTAGAAGCTAAACACCTGCTCTCCTTCAACTTTATTTTTCTGGATGACCTGAAAATCCCTTATCATTTTTATTTATTTATTTTTTTTTTGGAAGAGATTTTTTGCTGTAGGGCATGTGTACTTGCTGCAGATACAGAGAGAAACAGAGAGAGAGAAAGTGAGAAATCACCCTCTCTGAGATGGCCACACTTTCATCCCTTCTTTCCCTTCTTGGGATTTTGGGCATGCATACACATGCCTGGCAGGAGTTTCAAGTCACTGGGTCCATACTTGAACCGTGGTTGACCACGTAAGAGTCCAGTGCCTTTATCACTACACCACCTGCTGGCCCCAGTCCGTCATCATTTTTGAAGACCCAACTCAGTTGTTGCCTTCTCTTTAGTTCTTTTGTGCTTTCTATTTTCATGTTTGCTTTTTTTAAAAAAAAAAAAACAAAAATCATTTTTGCCATAGGGCACATGGGAGAGAGACTGTGAGAGGGAAAGTGAAAAATCAACCCCTAGGGAGATGGCCAAGTTACAATCTCTTCTCCATTCTCCTCCTGGGATTTTGGGCACACATACATACATGTGTGCCCGAAGTGTTTCAAGTCACCGGGTCCATCTGTCCGTCCCTAAGGGAACTTTAATTGCAGTCGTCTATGTGGGAATCCAGTGCTTTAACCATCACCCCAACTGCTTGTCCTGCTTGTTTATTTTTTTAATTGTACTTAGAAGTTACATTGCATTATATTCAGTTACGTTGTACTGTAGCTAATTTGTTTACATGCCTTTTATCCTCATCTAGATCTTTCCCTTTTCAGGTAGGGCCTATAACATTTTTTAGAGTAAGTGTGAAATTGACACAGTTGTTAACCAAGAGCAGTTTTTTTTAAGGTTTTTGCGGTAAGGTAAGGTGCATGTACTTCTAGAGAGAAACAGGGAGAGATAGTGAGAGGGAAAGTGAGAAATCACCATCCAGGTGGATGGCCATGCCACAATCTCCTCTTCATTCTCCTGGGATCTTGGACATGAGCATACATGTACCTAGCATGACTTTTACACCACTGGGTCCAGGAGTTGAACTGTGGTCAGCCATGTGCAAGTCCACCATTGAAACCACCATATCACCTGCTTGCCCCTAAAAATAGATATTTTAAACATATATTGAATCAAGTATAAATTGGGAATTCTCAAATATTTTTACATGATTGTAGAAATAAAGCAGAATTTTAAAATGATAGTAGACTCAGCTTGTTGCTTTAGCTGCTTTAGAACTTGGTACTGCAAGAATGTTGAAAATGGATTTCTTATTAATTATGAGTGTCACTAAAATCAACCACTCTCCTTTAAAAAAAAAAGAAAAAGAAAAAAACACCTTAAAACTAAACTTTAGTTCTAAGGAAGATTTCCAGTAGATGGCATTATAAGACTTTATCTGTTTTCTTTTACCATCCTTTTTGCTGGGAGAATTAAAATTTGTTTCTTTCTGATGTTATGGTTTACAAAAATGATTATATCTATATAAAATCATCTAGACAGACAGAAAAACCCACTTAACACATTTCTAGGCTTCTGGGTCCACTTTTTTTCCTCATCTAGCCAACCAGGCCATTGGAGTAAACCTCACTCTCTTCTCAATCTCATTGATTCAAATATATATATATATAAATATTATATATTTTTTGAGAGGTTTTTGCTATAGGGCGTGTGTGCTCGCCAGACAGACAGAGAGAGACAGAGAGATAGAAAGCGAGAAATCACCCCCCCGGGGGGATGGCCACGCCGCAATCCCTTCTCCTCCATTCTCCTCTTGGGATCTTGGGCATGCACGCACATGTGCCCGGTGTGAGTTTATTAAGCCACTGTGTCCGGGATGCGAACCGCAGTCGACTACGTGGGAGTCCAGCGACATAGCCATTACGCTAACCGCTGGTCCCCTATTCAAATATATATTTACAGAAAACCTTTCATGCCTAGGCACTAAGCTAGCATCTGATATATTGGTAGAATAAGGTAGATGTGGATTTATTACATGATAAGCCTTCCTTCATTTTCCCATTTACCCTGAAGATTAAAATAGGTTATGAAATATGTATACTAGGGCATAAGAGCTGGGGTCTAGAGCAAGACTTTCTAATTCACCAGTTACCTGTTACCTTGTAACAAGGTACCTATCGACTCTGTCTGGGTTCTTGCCATTAAAATCCAGCAGTTGTGGTCAAACTTCATGTAAGGGAAGCTGAAGCCTTCTCATTGGTTCATGGCCATTTGGGTCCAGTAGCAAAGGTGTGCAGTAGGAACCTGCAGGGAGGTGTTGGAGAACTGAACGTCTCTGCTTCTTATTGCAGATTCCATTGTGTAAAGTTATTAGATTCAACATAGACTACACAATTCATTTCATTGAAGAGATGATGCCTGAGGTAAGAGAAAATATTGCTTAACGGTTTGATGTAGTTTGGTTTTTTTGTTTATTTCACACTTGTATTTTAAAGCCTTGAACTTGGTCAGCTTTGACTTTTTGTCTAGAAATAACCCTAAAGTATCCTGTTCACTGTCAACAGGGTCAGTGAAATGTAGCTTTAGTATCAAGATGAAAATTCAGGGCAATTTTTTTTTAACTCATTGACCTATTTTTGAACCCCTTTCTGCCTGTGTTATTCTGCTGATAGTAACTACACATCTGTTTCTGGCTTGTTTTGCATAGGGGACAGATTTTAGTCACTGACCATTATCAGAGAGGAAATTGGAATAGTGAATCTGAATCTGATAGCTGTTGGAATAATCTTATTCATTATCTCCAATGACAAGATCAATGTGCAGTTCATTTTTCTTCCCATATATTTACATATTTTTTCCTAATTGTTTTTCATTGTGGATGCTCAGCAGCAGATTTATCTAAATATATGCAAGAGATTTAAAATTCCAAAGCAAGATTAATGTGAATCTCAGAATGATTCATTACCTGATCTTGAATTTAGTGGTGTCAACAAATCACACTAAGAAATAACAACTAGACAGCAAACAAGCTTGTGCACTTAACATTGTGTTGGAATCAGGGTCGATTTCCAGAGCCCCTGGCTCTTCTTGAGAACTTGTTAAACAGGGCAGCTCTGTCATGGGCCAGGAGCACGGAGAGGGAATTGATGGGCATGACGTGCATGCTTAGTTGACACCTATTTCATTCTGTGCTAGTCTGTTCATCCTACCTGCCTTTCAGAAAGAATTAAAGAGAAAAGGCCGCCCCTTCATTCTCCTGCTTAAAAGGATTTTTTTGCATCCTGTGATTTTAAGGTCATAAGCCATTATTTGCTATTGTAAAAGTTTATGACTTCTGGCACAATCTCACACAGGGTGATTTATGAACCTTGAGCAAAACAAGTAGGAGGAAGAATTATGAGACAAGTCTCACTTGTAAATATATCATCTGTTTAACTTTTTTCCAGGAGAAATCTTGGTACAAACTTTTGTAGTTTTTCTTAGTGCTTAATTTGCTGTCATTAAGAATTTGAACTTAATGGTACAAAGACCCTGTGTTTTTTGGTAACTCTGTAATAGTGATTCTAGGTATGTTAGATGGGGTTGGTCCAAGCCTATCAGAGCCCACAGATGTGGGCATGTGTTTTTAATCTGGGTTAACAAAGATGAGTTTGATATGTTTTATAATTGGGTTTGGAAAACATGACATAAATGTTTACTTTTAAATTTCACATCATTTTATTTGTACACTGAGGAAGGGCCGAATTGACATCTTTATAGGAATCTTAATAGCATTGTCTACTTCCTTTCTCTCTCAAACCAGTGAGCTATTGTAGAACAGTGGCCAAATGTTTTAGGAAAGTGTGTGGATAAGTTCAACAGACTCTATTGAGATATTTGATTAGAACAGGTTGAGCCTTCAGTTGGTATATATTTGTAGATCTACAGTAATTTCATTTGGTTTATTTTTCAGAATTTTTGTGTAAAAGGGCTTGAACTCTTTTCATTGTTCCTATTCAGAGATATTTTGGAATTATACGACTGGAATCTTAAAGGTAAATAATAGAATTTAAGGAACTGAGTAACACTGGTAGAAGAGTGTTGGGATATATGTGAAAACTTATGAAAGTGGGGAGATGTAGTTGAAATTCCTCATATTTTTGAAATGCCCAGGCAAAAGTGTGTTATTTGTAGGAATACTTGTTATCACTTGACATGCATAAGTTCTTGTATATTTTACTTTATATTGTGCTTGATATTAGCTCATGGAATAGGACCAGTTTTTATGAGTAACTACCTTGATTTATGCACAGTAGGGAAATTTCATTAGTTAATATTTCATTAGTTAAATCTAGTGAAGCTTACTGTAATAAATTTCTTCTAAGATGACAGTTTATTTCTTCTAAGATGACAGTTTGGTTAGTCTTTAAAACACACATACACACGTGTATTCAGGGTGAGCTAGATAGATTCAAAGACTTGATTCTAGGTTCTTGGGTAATAGGTTACTCTTTTGGAAATATCTGTAAATATCTGTATTCTAGCAAACGTTTACTTGTTTTTTTTTTTTTTCTTGTTTTTTTTTTTTAATTATTGGAGGGCATGTTGGCTTGCCAGAGAGAGACAGAGAAAGAGAGAGGGGAAGGGAGAAAGCACCCCCCCTCTACACACACACACACACACACACACACACACACACACACACACACAGAAATTCCTTCTCCTCTATTTCTCCATCCTGTCAAGATTTTGGGCACACATACATATGCATGTACACACAGATGTCTGGTGTGTTTTTCAAGCTTCTGGGGCCAAGATTCAAACTATGGGGTTGACTTTGTGGGATCTAATTCCTTTAACCATTAGGGTTTGCCCTGTTTGTTTATTTTTAAAGCAATGTATTGATTTAAAAATAAATATTTAAATTGCTTTTCAAACCAAGGTTTTGAATGAATACATTGAATGAATAGCTTTTCAAACCATGTATATTGATGAATGGTTTTTCAAACCCGTAATATTTTTACTTATTTTACAGTGTATTGATTAACATGGGAAGGAATTAATACACAAGCATACCATATGCAGTAGTTTAATTATAACAAAAATCTTGACATTTTTAAATTAAAAAAAAAATATTGTATGTATTTGCTCCTTGGGGCTTTCATTCTCCTCTTGACTTCCTGTGTTCTCGTTGCAATCTTCATTGGATGTTTGTGGCAGTTACCAATGATTGATTTAGCTATTGAAGAATAGTGGGGGGAATGGTATTTTTTATGTCCCTACTGCTGGTGGTGTTTTTTGTGGTTATCATAAATCTTAGGAATTAAGTTGCAGTGTTTGCTTTCTAAGATTGTTTGATTTTTTTTTTTTTTTTCCTTTCCTTCTTACTTGTTTGTTTTAGGTCCTTTGTTTGAAGACAGTCCTCCTTGCTGCCCAAGATTTCATTTCATGCCACGTTTTGTAAGATTTCTTCCAGGTAAATCTTTTGGCTTGTCAGTGACCCAGTGAGATCATGTCTCTAAAAATAACCCTGCCATTCTCCTTTCAATCTTTAGGGACAATGTTTCTAACTCATATAATGCTAATTATCTACTTCTCTACTTGGGCATAAAAATGTAAAGTGATATAATGCTGATTTATACCCCTGCATAATTTCCACCCTCCAAGTTAGATGAGCAATGGAAGAATTGATTTATAAATTTTGAAAATCTACTTGATAAAATTCATGCAAGTTAATGAACATAGAAAGATGCATATGCTTAAAATATACATACGGCCCAATTTTAAAATAAATTAGAAATAAAATAGAATTTTATTTATAATTCTAAATATCATTTATAAATTTATTTATAATACTAATATCATTTATAATTCTAAAAATTACTGTAGTAAGAGTTGTATTAGATGGGAAGATTATAGTGATTTTTTCGGCACCTGTGCCTTTATTTATTTTATAGTGAAAAATAAACTATGATCCATTCTCCCACTAAATTAAACTATTTAAATAAATATATGATGTAGGTTTTTTTAAAGTTTATTAATTTATTTCATGAAAGAGAGAAGCAGGGACCCCTGATGGGGTCTTGCTAAACTCTGATATAACCCCTCCACCTCACCAGGCTTGTGTCGTGTGTTCTGGGAACTAAACCCAAGGCTTTCCCACATGGCTCTAGTATTGCATAGCACTGCCTACTGTCTTCACCACCATGGCTGGACCTATGACTTAGGTTTTTTAAAAAGCTATTATTATAACTTTTCTGATTATTTTTCAAGGGTCTAGCTATAAGATACAACATGATATATTTAGAATTGTTTTTTTTATAAAAGGTTGGATTTTAAAGGGAATCTTTGTGTGCCCTTTTTGCTTACAAAACTTTTTCCTTTGAGGCTTCTGTTACCGTATTTCCAGTCATTCTTTCCTTTTTTGTGTGTGCTTTTTGTGTTTTGTTATAGGGTATTACTTGTGCTTGCCAGAGAGGGAGACAAGGAGAGTGTGAAAGCACCCCCCAGGGGGGATGCCCATACTGCAGTCCATTCTCCTTTTTGGAGTTTGTCATGCACGTACATGCACCTGGCATGTTTTTCAAGCTGCTGGTTCTAGGATTCAGACCACTCAGCTGGCCGTGTGAGATTCAGCCTCCTTAACCGCAACACCACCAGCTGGCCCCCACTCCTTTTTTCTTAATGTTTTCCAGTTACTTGCTTTATAAAGCACTTTGCAGCCTGGCCTGCTGTTTCCACTCTAGGAAAGTTCTGTTATTAGTTTATTGCACTTCACTTACTATTCTATCCTGAACTGTACAGTTTTTTGACTTTTTTGCCGTAGTGATTGTCATAGCTTCGTCACCTAATTCCACGATAATGCCTTGGACCATGCCCACACCCTAAACGAATTTATCTCTAGAATTTAACTGAAATCTCTTCCTTTCTGATGACTTCTGTCTCCTTCCAGCCTGTCGTGTTTATTCCCTTCACTTCTACTTGAATCTTCTTTCTTCTCCTTGTGTGCAGGTGCTGTTCTTTGCTTTTTGCACTAAGTCTGTGCTCTTTGATCTGTGTATTAGATGGGAAGATTATAGTGATTTTTTCGGCACCTGTGCCTTTATTTATTTTATAGTGAAAAATAAACTATGATCCATTCTCCCACTAAATTAAACTATTTAAATAAATATATGATGTAGGTTTTTTTAAAGTTTATTAATTTATTTCATGAAAGAGAGAAGCAGGGACCCCTGATGGGGTCTTGCTAAACTCTGATATAACCCCTCCACCTCACCAGGCTTGTGTCGTGTGTTCTGGGAACTAAACCCAAGGCTTTCCCACATGGCTCTAGTATTGCATAGCACTGCCTACTGTCTTCACCACCATGGCTGGACCTATGACTTAGGTTTTTTAAAAAGCTATTATTATAACTTTTCTGATTATTTTTCAAGGGTCTAGCTATAAGATACAACATGATATATTTAGAATTGTTTTTTTTATAAAAGGTTGGATTTTAAAGGGAATCTTTGTGTGCCCTTTTTGCTTACAAAACTTTTTCCTTTGAGGCTTCTGTTACCGTATTTCCAGTCATTCTTTCCTTTTTTGTGTGTGCTTTTTGTGTTTTGTTATAGGGTATTACTTGTGCTTGCCAGAGAGGGAGACAAGGAGAGTGTGAAAGCACCCCCCAGGGGGGATGCCCATACTGCAGTCCATTCTCCTTTTTGGAGTTTGTCATGCACGTACATGCACCTGGCATGTTTTTCAAGCTGCTGGTTCTAGGATTCAGACCACTCAGCTGGCCGTGTGAGATTCAGCCTCCTTAACCGCAACACCACCAGCTGGCCCCCACTCCTTTTTTCTTAATGTTTTCCAGTTACTTGCTTTATAAAGCACTTTGCAGCCTGGCCTGCTGTTTCCACTCTAGGAAAGTTCTGTTATTAGTTTATTGCACTTCACTTACTATTCTATCCTGAACTGTACAGTTTTTTGACTTTTTTGCCGTAGTGATTGTCATAGCTTCGTCACCTAATTCCACGATAATGCCTTGGACCATGCCCACACCCTAAACGAATTTATCTCTAGAATTTAACTGAAATCTCTTCCTTTCTGATGACTTCTGTCTCCTTCCAGCCTGTCGTGTTTATTCCCTTCACTTCTACTTGAATCTTCTTTCTTCTCCTTGTGTGCAGGTGCTGTTCTTTGCTTTTTGCACTAAGTCTGTGCTCTTTGATCTGTCTGTCATATCTGCCAGACCCTCGTGTTTCCACCATCTTCCATGTAAGAGTCATTAATCCAGGCACTTGCCTTTTCTTCTGCTACGTGTGGGCCACCCAGTAATACAGGAGAAATAACATAGCTGCTGCTAAAAATTGGTGGTCTACAGTCTAGGTTGGAGAATTTTTCTTTAAGTAACCTTTCTGCCCAATTCCACATTGTCAGCATTTTCAGAAATCTGGTCCTAGGTTCATGCCATCCTCCTTGTGTCCTTCTGGGTGAAGGGGGCTTTTCCCCCTATGCCTGAGAACCCTCCTTTGAATCCAATGCACTCTGGCTTCCTCAAATGTTCTTGGTCCATTTGCAGCCATTCTTTACCTCACTACCAGCTCTCTCTCTGACCCCTGCCCAGCCCATTGCTGCTGCCAGTGCCTGAACCAGCCTCCCAAAGACCAAATCCAGACGACACCTCGGTGTTAGCCTCCTCCCTAATGGGGTTCTTGGGCTCTTGACAATCTTCCTCCTGGCTCCCCCACCTTTACTTCCATCTGTTTGGTTCCACCTTTGTGTTGTTTGTTTCTTGTTTATTCAGTCTAACTTAGATTTTTTTTCCCTAAATATTTTGTCCCTGATGCTCTTTCTTTATTTCAGACAGTCATAATGGCTTATTTTTATCTTAGAGTAGTGTTACTCATATTTTTAGTTTTATTGTTAATGTTTACTTTGCTTAGAAAATGCTTTCAACAGATTTTCTCCTTGTTACATCTGCTTTTATTTGATTGAGATGCCCTTTTCTTTTTTCAAGTGAACGCACCTTTGATTTCATAATGGAACTTTAACTATAAATTTATTCGAAAATGGTGTTAGAGTGAGTTTGTTGAAAAGCCTTTCCTTTCTGTATCTCTGTGCCCTTAGGCATTTTATGACCAAACAAATCTCTTCTGAGAAAGTGGACAGTTTAAACATCTTCTTAAAGAAAAATCTATGTTGGATCTTTACTTTGTGGGATTTCAACTCTTACAAAATGTACATAGGGATAACATTTAGGTTGTCATAAAGAAAAAGGTCTATCATTTTATTTTTAAATAGAATTTACTATTTCATTAGACTTCCCATTGAAAATATACATATTTTAAAAACCCTGAAGACATATTGTAGAAAAATACCTCATATATAACATGTGTTTGGATACTGGATGGCAAATTATGGTTGATTGGTTTTTCACAGTAGGACTCATTGAAGATCTTTCAGAAAATGATGAATTAAAAACACAATTTGATATACTCATTATTTTCTGTGTATTAGGTGTTTTTAACATGATAATCATCACACTATTTGATTTGCATCCTGTCTTAATAATTCATTGAGCAGATGGGTATTTTTAAAGATCATGATATATAGAGCAAATTTCTTGTCAAAAGAATCACATGAGTTTATGCTGCCATGAAAAATCCATTATTATACTTTTAACATTGGAGGCCTGCTGCTCTTCTTCCTTCCACCCTTCTCCCCTTTTTTCCTTAAAAATTTTAATGGTGAGTTCCATGAGGCCAGGCTGTAAACACCGACTGTCTTGTATCACCTGGCACATAATGAGGACTCAGTAAGTATCAGTCATAATAGTGCCTTATTTAAATATTCACGTATTTGATTACTAATGAATGTTCTCTTCAAACATTCTTTGTTATTCTGTCATTTTTATAAAAATAAACTTTTGATTGAACTATGACATAAATACCGAAATGTGAAATATCATGAATATAGGACTCAAATGAATTTTCATGAAGTGCATATTACCACGTCCTAAGCACCCGTTTTGAGATTATTGGCGTCTAAGAACTCCCTCCAAGCCCCTTTCCAGTCTACCCTGGAAATAGTGGGTAACTGCTATTCTGTCTTGAAATATCATATGTCAGTTTGACCTGTTTTTGAACTATGAAAACCAGAATTTTATATTTTCTGTTGTTTCTGTCTTTTGTTTAATATGTTTGGAAACATCTGTTGTTACAGTTAACTGTAGGAAGCTCATTCTCACTACTATATACTTTTATATAGCATGACTAAATTAAAATAAGTCCATTATGAGGGCCAGCTGATGCTGTAATGGTTATATCACTGGACTTCCATGTGGTCGACTGCGGTTAGAGTCCTGGACCTGGTGGCATAAAACTCACGTTGGGCACATGGAGAAGTAGGGATTGCAGCCTGGCCCTCCCCATGGGGGGTGATTTCTCGCTTTCTGTCTCTCTGGCAAGTGCATGCACCCTATAGCAAAAAAAA